GCACCTTACCACATAGACTCATGAAACAGATAAATAATAAATGGACAGCTTTGCTAAACCAGGAGTCTGAGACAAGAAATATATGTGTATATACAGCAAGCAAATTAATAAAGGATAGTAAAAAAGTATCAAAACCCCTATTTGAGGTTCACAGTTAAATATATAAGGGAAGCATGGTAAGATTGCTAAACTATCAATGTTACAAAGAGGCAAAATGGAATATTTGCATGGGCAAAGTAAATTTAGTAGTGTCAAATGAAGAGATGGGGTTAAATAGTTGGAACCTACATTCGTAAGTACAAAGCAGAAGGTTCATTCTACGGTAAAAACTACACTGTGGGAAATTAGAATGCAAAGTAGAAATCCAACTAAGGTTAGGGATAACTGTAAGATTGAGCAGATGCTGATGTTGTTATTAAGCTGATTATTTGTAACCCAAAGCTCATTTTATTTCTGTATGCATAAAATGAGAGTTGTCTGGGCTGGAACTGATCCACTTGAGTCTTAGTACCAATATCAGTTGCAAGTCAGAAAGACAGATAGCCTTTGGGGTCATTTAGACAATACTTAGTGGTCTCAGTCTCTTTCTCCCAGCCCAATTTAGCTCCCGTAACAGTATTTTTTTCACTGGGACAAGGGGACAGGTTCATATCAGATTTAGAACAATTACTTTGGACATGTGCGGAAAGCACAGGAGACTTTCTGCACTATGCACATCTGACTTACAGGGAAAGCTGCTAAATCCCAGCAAATCTATTTGCATGTTGCTGTCCAGTTGTCAGATGGTGTCTCAGTTTATAAATGTGAAAATCAGAGCAGATTTTATTTTCATCAGGATTTCAGACTTACCCATTGAAATACAGCATATCAACAAGGCTCCCTGAGCTTTCATTATCATATATGCATAGCACTGGATTGAAATGCACTTAGAGTTGGAAACGACCAGCAGGCTTTTCACCTGAGAAAAGTTTCCAAACATGAGATCTTTTCAACAAATTAAGTTGGACTACTTGACATAAACATAAACTTAGGAGAGGGATTAAAAATATTTTCAAGCAAGCAGTGCAAGCTACGAGGAATGTAGGAAATACGATTAAGAAGTATTTTTAAGAGCTTTCCCTCTTACCAACTGACTGCCTAGGATCCATTTACAGATGTTCCTCCCCTTATCCTTCTTGCTCCACATTTGTTCCCATGGATGCTAGACCATGGTATGGTCTATGCTTGACCAATTGTTAGGAGTGTAGCCCCAGAACTTACGAAATTTATAGCCTAGTGGGGACTATAAGTGATTGAACAAATATAATCATTTGAGAGAAAAATATCCACCTGTTTGATCAGTGATATGAGAGAAGTGTAAATGACTATGTGAATGCCAAAGAAAGAGGTAATCATTCTAAATAGGGGATAGAGGAAGAATATGCAAAAAAGACCACTTAAATAGGACTTGGTAAAGTTAATAGGGTTTTTCTAGATTGACTTTTGGGAGGAAAACTATTAGTGAGAATAGAAAGATAACAAAAGATAGTTAAGAAGCCTCGGGACCCATAATGCAGTGACAGTTTGGTATTACCAGAAGATGTACATACACGTGGAAAAAGATGGAGATATTTGATGATAAGCCTAGAAAAACAGACTGAGTACACCATGGAGAACTGTGATGCCTGTGTTAAGAAATGATAAGAAATAGGATGCTAGGGAAGGTTTTTCACTAAGGAATTAACAAGTTTGCAGCTGTGCTTGAGAAGCACTACATGAAAACTCAGAGAGGTGGGTATGTGTATAGTAACAATATTAATGTGGTCTGCAGCAATGCTGCTGTGCATTTATGCATGTCTCTCTCTTTTTTTTTTTTTTTTTTTTGAGACGGAGTTTCGATTTTGTTACCCAGGCTGGTGTGCAATGGCGCAATCTCGGCTCACTGCAACCTCCGCCTCCTGGGTTCAGGCAATTCTCCTGCCTCAGCCTCCCGAGTAGCCAGGATTACAGGCAAGCACCACCACACCCAGCTAATTTTTTGCATTTTTAGTAGAGACGGGGTTTCACCATGTTGACCGGGATGGTCTCAATCTCTTGACCTCGTGATCCACCCGCCTCGGCCTCCCAAAGTGCTGGGATTACAGGGCATGTCTCTCTTTACATAACTACACGTGGATATAGCTACAACATTGAGTTCATGTATATTTCATATGAATGTTATATGCACATTTTTATATATTTCTTTTACTTGGAGATAAAATTATTTTAGTCAAAATTATTTTTATAATGCAATTTACTGTATTGTGTTGTTTTCTGCCTAAAAGAGATTATTTCAATTCTGTTTTATTCTTATACATTGGGGAGTTTAAATAATGTAATATCAACCTGGGCTGTATTAGAACTACTGGCTTAGAAATGAACATTGGCCAGAAGTTATTAAAAATGGATAGCTGTTTAGTGGTGTGTGGGAAATGAGTTGATGGTCACAGTCCAGTTCTTCCTTAACAGGTGTCTACCTCATAAAAACCACTATCATAATCAGCCCTTATTGGCACCCTTATTGCCAGCATGAGGAAAGAAGCCAAGATTTAAGATTGCTTTCCTTCTCTGTCAGAACTGTGTGGGGAGCTTCAATTCAACCTATTATAGTGTCTTTATGTTTTCTTTTGTACAGTATTAATTTCTAAAATAAATTTACTCTCTGAGAAGTCATCTCAAGAGACTGTCATTGACTTCTTAACCAGACAATAATTCATTTTAGAAATAATGTTGTTAGAAGGAAAACATAGAGCTATTATAAAAGGATATAATGAGAACATTTGAAGAGGTATCATTTCAAATCAGCAGTTTTACAGACAGACATATGTTCCCACCACAGGGACCTGTCCTACTGCTTGAACACCAGAAGCAAATTCATTACTTAAGATCATTAAGGGATCGCATTCAAAGCTAATCATGATTTACAGGGTGAAATCCACAGCTTTACTCAGTGTTGCTTGATTGTGATATTGGATGCCACTCAATTGAAGGAGAATTTGTTTCTCCATGCTTGCTAACATGACATCTCCCATATTTATGATTTCAGCATGAAATCTAGTTACAAAGAAATAAGAAATGTTCAAACCAATTCCTTTGCAATAGAATTATTTAGAACATGCACCTATTGGATACAATGTCAAAATTCATCTTTTGCACAAAGCTGTTTTCATAAATAAAAATATTTTATATGCATTTTATTGTGCATTTAAACATGATTGCTCCCACTTTGAAAAGATGTTTGCTGCAATGATGAAAGGAAACAATTGGCTCTTTTTAAAAGACTTTACATTATGTTTTAATGGCAGTTGTAACTTCTTTTGAGGAGTGAAAGAATTATGGACTTGAATACATAGCAATAATTTTTATATTATGCTTTAGTTGGCCTTTTAATTTTGGAAGAGCAAAACTGCCTGTATAACAAGAAAAATGCATTCAAATATATTTATATGTATTACACAGAAAATCATAGAAAACTTCATAAGCATGCATATGCACAATGGATTTTATTCTATGTAGAAAATTTATACAGAAAGACTAAACAAAAGAAGCTGCAGGATAGAATTAAAATTATGCAGAATTTGCATTTCTCCCATTAAAAATTTGTATAATTGACCTCAGTGAAAATTATCAACAATGAAAATATTGAGAATATTCAATAAAACAAAAAAATTTTGAATATTAAATAAAATGTATATAGTTGCTTGCTAATTGAATTTTTTAAAATGTAGAAACACACAATTGCTTTTTAAAGCCTTTCATTTTTTTTACATTGTTTTGTGTTTGTTTTATATTCTTGGCAACATATGTAATTTTTAAGGACACGAGATAGACTGCTCTCACAAAAACTGGTATTTCAAAATAACTAAAATAAAGTTTCATATATTGGCTTAAATTTTTGACACTACTGCATATCCATAAAGAGAAAATACACATACTTTAACAGAAAAGGAATTTCAAAAAATCTCATTTGCAAGAAAAATTGTCCAAGATTAGAAAACCACTTAAAAGAACAGTCAAAATGATTATCTGTGTTTACAGTTACCATCGTATAATAAAAAAAGAAGACTTTTAAAATAATATTATTGTAGTGTGTTCTTTTTTGAATTGATCATAAACCAAATTAGACAATTCTTCAAGTATTCAATTGTTTAGTCATTTTATCATTCCACCTTTTCTAAAAACCAGTAAACCCTTTACTTAAGTCTGAGGAAAACTTACTGGGAGTAAGTTTGGAAATCAAGGAAAGATTGAATTGTTGTAATTTTATAACCTTATTGAGGTGTGCATTAAAAAATCTTGTACTTAAACTTTTCTCAACTGAAGTATACATAACCTGACAACCTGAGGACTGAGACCATGACTCACATATCCTTGATAAAACTTTGCATTGAGCACTATTTCTGACTTTTAGTAGGAACTCAATAAAGGTATATTAATTTTATGTTTGCAGACACAACATATATAGGAATTCTTCCAAAAGTCACAGGAAGTCTTCCAAATTAAAGCAAAGAAAGACACAAATCTCACTTGGCTTTAAAATTATTTCTAGGCATAAGAATAGAAGCACATTTATTAATTTTACTCTTAAATAAATTGAATATATTATTTTAAAATGTTTTTCATGCTCAAGAAAATAAGGGCATGAAGCTTTTATATAACCCTTTATTCTGTGATTGATCCAGATGATCTTTTCAATGTATGACTTTCTATTCTATTTTTAGAGAGAATCCACTGAAAGTATTATTTTTGTCTAACTTTAATTCTTGAAGCATATTCTGAAAATTTAGTGAGTTTCTATGCTTAGTAACTAAAATACTACTTAAATGATACAAAATACTTCATTAAATGATATCTTTATTCTGATTATAATTCTATTCACTGAACAGTTTCCTGTAACTAAAACTTGCACATCCTATCTAACTTGATATGAGCATGGACAAGAGGGGGTTCATAATGTACAAAAGCAATGTTAAAACCTGCAGTTAATAGAATTAATAAATCTGAAGCATTGCAAAGATTTCAAAAAGCTGGTAAGGTCACAGATTCATTAAAAAATCTTTATTTCAGCAGCATTTTGTATCATCTTCAAACCCTTAAATTTGTACAACTATCATTTATATTTTCATCTGAATGCCATTCTATGCATTGCTGATCTCTAAAACGTTCCAAAAGTGAAAAATGTTTTCAGGTAGTTTAAAGGCAGCTCAGCAAAGTGGTATGGTATGAAACACTTCCACTTAACTTCTTCAGGCTTGTTTTGCTCTCTACTCAAGCACACCTCAAATGCTGCACCATTCATTGCTATCACTGCAGTATATCCTATGCCTCCTCAAACACTATCACCACCTGTCAAATCTGGCATGAAATAGTTTGCAAGGTTTTTATGTTGATTTTAAGGAATTAGAAGCATCAAGCATGTTATTTATTCTGGGTTTATCTCCAGTAATGTATACAGTTACCAATAGCACTGGATTGCATCCTGAATAATTTTTTCAGGATTGGCTGCTGAAATACTATATTGTTGTCTGGATTAAGGTTGTCTATATATTGCACCAAAATTTGCTTTTATTTAGAAAGACTTCAGGTTGTTAAATAAGTCAATAGAAAATGTAGCTTCTGACAATTACAATTTAAAAGGCCACCTTCCCAAATTAATGAAGAATATTCAACATCCTAGTATTTTATAAATGTACTTACCAAATTAGATTATCATCTCTATTCCTCTTCCAAGGGGGAAAAAAAGTATTTCCTATAGATTTGCTTTTAATGTTAATGAAAAACAAAGACAACCACATAAGTATATAAAGCTATGAGTTGAATTTTGCAAAATAATTTAGGCAGTGAAAATTTGACAGATGCAGTTTCAATATCTTGTATATCAAAAAGTAAAGTAAATTTCTGCAGTGAGAGTTGGGGTAATACAATAAAGAAGAATGAAGAGAAAGCAAAGCAGACAACTGGATGCCAGGGGAAGCCTGAATCCGTGATGGGTTCTCCCATAAGCTCTGTGCTTTGTCCTTGCTTTCTCTGAGTCTGGTGCTCTTTTCTCTAGGCAGCTCTGACCCTTCCTCCCAGCAGAATGTTGAGTGCTGGCCAAGGTCTCATGGTTGGTCCATTCATAGATCTAGCAACAGATCCAGGTCTCATTTTCTTCACAGGTGAATTTAGATATTGGGATTATTGTTCTAATATCTCTTTGAGAACTAGAAGAAAATTTTGGAAACTTTCTCTGCAAAAAAAGAAAAGCGCACAAAACATTTTGGATGAGTTTTAAGCCTATCCATGGTCTCCAAGTTAAGAATCCAGAGATTAGAATACTTTTAAAGCATTATATGTGTTTCCCTAATATATATAAATAGTGGGGTTTTGGATAATAATAATAATTTCTTTGGCCTTTGCCTTTCTGTAGTTGCAAACCATTTACATTGAGTATACATTGAAGAGTGCAGCCCCAGAAACTAGACCACCTAAGTAGCAATCTTCATTCAGCCACAAACTTCCTGTGGAACACTGGTCAAGGTACTTACCTTTTCTTTCCTTCATTTTTTTCATTGGTATGTTGTGGATAGCAATGTTTATTATATGGATTTACCTCATATGGATTTGCAGCTATTAACTTAGTGTGACATGCATGTGTGTGAATGTGTATTAACATAGGCAGGAATTTATATGTATCGTGCTTAGAACAGGTCCTAGAAAGTGATAATTGTTCAGTATATCTTAGACATCACATGTGTATTTTTTAATTCTGTAAACATACATAAATATAAAGATAAAATACATCTTTCATAATTTTATTTAGTTTTTTTCTCTAGAATGTCAAGATCTAGCTTCTTATATTTGAAAATTAACCATATTATCTAATTTGCAGTGTGATATCCTGTGCATTTGCTGTATGATTATGTTTATGGTTTCTAAATAATGCAAAATGAAAGAAAGAGTTTCATATCTCCACAGCAAAGAATCAGTGGCTATTTTCCAATTTAAAAAAAGCACTGAAATAAATATTATCAATAATGCTTAATGTCTATGCAATTACTTTATTTGTAATTAGCATTCTTCCCCATATAATGTGTCTTGGGATCATGTTCCTCTTTCCCCTTTTTGAAAATAATGCATATCAAGTTTCCTTATTCATATGGCTGGTGGAAAATTTCTTACATTTATATGTAAGAGTCTTTTCTAAAAAGGCTTTCTTGACTGAGCTAATTCATGCTCATTCTTAAGTTTTTCTAAACTGAATATACAAAATTAATATCAACAGATTTCTAACCTATTTCTTAATCTATATGTTTTAGAGCTTATAATCAGATAATACTTCAGATAAGATTTGGTTCAAAATTTTTATACCAGATGCAATTTACTTTTTAACCTTAAGTCCTTCAATATCTCTTTTTCCTTTTCCTATTTGTCCACTGGTGAAGTGTTACAGATAAAATGTCATTTCTGTTAAACAAGAGCAGCACTTTCTGTCCCCACTCTTGCTTACATAGATAATGAAACTAAGTAAAATATAAGTATGGTTGGAAAGAGAAAGCCACATATATTTTCTGCTTAGTAAAACAAAACTGTTTTGTTTTTCTCTGAAGTATTTCTTGCTAGACTTATATTCTTTCTTTTCAAAAACAACTATAACTTTCACTATGCACTTCACCCCTTTCTATGGCCAATTATTTTTCAGGCTCTATAATTTTGCTTTTTTAAAATCCAAACTTGAGCCCCTCCCTCCCTCTGGCACACATACATATACACTCTATTTTAGGTGTCAGGGCATGTCAATAACATCAATCACCATTCGCACCATCGATCATGCAGCTACGAAGCAGTTGGATGACATCTGCCATAACACCCTTCTGTGCTACGGTAATGCACTTGAATTTTGATGCAGGAAGATATTGGTTTGCAGACTTGTAATCAATCACAGCATCTTTTCAAGCAGAATATCTTGGCGATATAACAGAGAGTTAATCACATATTCTTTGAGTATGTTTGGGCATGAATATAGGAGAGTTCCATAGTGTAGATTAATATTAAGTAATTAAAATATAATTTATAATTCTCCCAATAGTCAACATCATATTAATTACCCAAGCAATATTTGCTTTTTAAACTTTAACCCTTTTCTCCACAAATGTCAGTATTTTAAGGTTTTCCTTTATTACAAAATGTTAGGCAATATTTGTGTCTTTCTAAAATGCAAAGATAAAGACAAAGCAGTCCCTATTTAGTATTCCTGACTCTTGTCAGGACCACTTAGTGTATGCACATTTTATAGAGCAATATGTTTATTACACTATTGGTGATGGTCTTTGTTTGATATACAGGAAAATTGTATCATAGCAAATGTGAATAAAACAGCAGATTTTATAAATAGAGGCAGTTGAAATAAATCAAAAGTAAAATACAGTATCTGATAGCATTGTTTAACTTGATTTTATTTGAAACTTTGTTATTGCATCTAAAAATGAAGCTTTCTATAATAATATGCTTGCTAATTTTTTCAGCTTTTAAAACTTAACTGTTCTAACTTTAAAAAAAAAATTTTTTTTTTTTTAAGATGGAGTTGCACTCTATCACCAGGCTGGAGTGCAATGGTGGATTTCGACTCACTGCAGCCTCCGCCTCCTGGCTTCAAGCGATTCTCCTGCCTCAGTTTCCCTGGTAGCTGGGATTACACGTGAGCGCCGCTATGCCCGGCTAATTTTTCTGTGTATTTTTAGTGGTTACAGAGTTTAGTTTCACCATGTTGGCCAGGCTGGTCTCAAACTCCTGATCCTAGGTGATCCGCCCACATTGGCCTCCCAAAGTGCTAGGATTATAGGTGTGAGCCACGGTGCCCAGCTGTATTATTGATACTTAGAGGTTTTTAATACAAAAGATGTTTGCTGCAAGGCTAAGAGCAAACAGCAAAATAACGTGGTTTCCTGAAAACCTTAGAAATTTGGGGAGAATAGATACTGTTACTTGGAATAGAGATCTCATACTCATCAACACAATAGCAGTAAACCTGGGAGAAAGCAAAGATATGTTTCCCCCAGGGGATATTTTATTACACTATACTTCTCAGAAGAAATAGAATATGGACTCCGAAGGAAAGGGAGCAAGGTTGAGTTCAGATCCTAGGGCTCTGCCTCTGCTTCCTTGGGTTAGAAGTTTCTAGGATGTTGTGTGATGTAATGATGCAGAGGGTCTTTCCTGGCAGTCACAATGCCTGTCATTTGGGGAAAGAGGAGGACAGAAGACTTCTTCTAAGATGACAAAAAACAACAACTGTAGTTTTAAGTTTGATAAATTCAGTGTTTCCAGATAGTCTCGGTCTTTTAAAGAAAAGTTAGAAATTTGGATTTTATGAGATTTGATACTTAAAATTGGCTAATATTTTAAAGCACTTTGGAGATATGTACATGTATGTGTGTATAATATTAAATACTGGTTTACCAACCACTAACTGCTAATCTCAGTTAAAATACACAACAGTTTTTCAGTATAAAAACTCTATGCCCTCTCTGTTTTAGCGTTTGTGTTTAATTGAGAAATGTTTACTAAATAATGAGTTAATAACTAGCATTAAATTTATATGACCCATGGCTGCCTATTTATCTCTATACTTTTTCCCATACATTTTTCTTGCCTCACAAATTCCCTTCTTTCAAGGAATGCTCACTCGATAACCCACTTAAGTTAGTCTCATCCTTCAAGGCCCGTTTTAAAGGCAACCAACCCTGTGAAATCTTTCAGTTTCCTCTGAAGAGAGTTAAGCTGTTTTCTTTTGTTTTTGTGTTCCCATCTTGTTACCTACTTACTTTTAAAATTCTGGCTTAATTTACACCGTTTTCATCTTTCCACCATCTTGTAATTACACACTCAGAAAAAAAATCATTAAATTAAATCAATTACATATATAAGATTCAAATGTATTTCTTGATTGAATAGTTTTGTGATTTGTGAGGCTGCAACGTATTAATCCATGTAACAGGGCTAGTGTAAAAGTTATCTTCTCACAAATGTACTGCTAATTTTACATTTAACATGATGCCATCTACTTTAATCTTATGTGATCAGAGAATACAGTCATCTAACCAATCAAATATTCTGTGTAATAGATGCAATAAATAAAAATATCTGCATGTTTCTATACATGCACACACACACACACACACAAGCTCACACCAACTCACCATGACATGACCACTGAACAATAGTTTGCCTAAAATATACTTATCATAATCTGTATTATACTAATTAACTATCCAAAGAAATTTCAAGAACATTTTTCATATGAACTGTATACTGTACAAAGTGGTTAACATGTTTGGGAACTGATCCACATTTTATTATTTGTTTTGCCCAAATTTTGGTCAGTCTAGTCACAGACTCATTCTTTTTTCCAATGTAGCATGCATTATTTATAACTGTTTATAAGCAAAGACCTCAAGCAACTGGTAAGGTGAAGCAATTTCAATCAGGAAATCATCTTCCTATCACAGTAGAAAAGTATAGGCAAGGAATGTTTTGCTTCAAAGTGACTATGTCTGCTTCAAATACATAAAGTACCAAACCAGTTCAAGTTAGATCATACTTGTAGGGTTTATTGCTGAAAAAAAAACCCACGAAAACTGAGTTTTGTACATTTATGTAGCATAGAACTAATCACATTATATGGTAATTATTTATTTCTATGTCTACATTCTGCTTTAGATATTGAGCTGCACCTGAATATTCTTTATTTTTGTTTTCCCAGAACCAAGTTCATATATAAGACTCTAGGAAGTACTCACCTAAGCACTGAACAGATTCATAGATTAATTAACATATGAATCAGGGCAAGGACTGTTTGATAGCAAATGAAACTCTCCTTCATGACTCTGTTTCAGCACAACTGAGGCAGGCTACAATAAAGTCTACTCCTGCTACAATTAAAAAAAAAATAGTGGGAAAATAATATGTAGCCTGAAGTTTTCATTGGAAAAATTATTCAAAATATATGTAAATATTCATTCATTTTTATTCATTCACACTACAGTGTGATCTATGTTGTGCCTTTCATGGGTTAGGTACAGTATTAAGTGCTAAGGACTACCACAAGGCATAAGTCAGAAAGACATGTATTTAGAGCAGTAGCTCCAATTTGAGATAACACTGGGCTATCAGGGGACATTTAAAATATCTTTTGGTACATTCTGATGTGAAAATTAGGGTACGGTGCTAATGGATAAAGATACAAGTTGATGCTAACATCTTACAATGAACAGGAATACCTCTCACAACAAAGATACGCCCAACCAAAATGTCAATCAATAGTGCTGAGATTGAGAAATTCTGACTTAGAAGAATCATGAAGGAGTGTAATAAAAACTTAACTTTGTGCTGAAATGGCATAAGTAGAAAATTATCACCTCTTCTTTAGGTAGCCATGGAAGGCTAAGAGAAGAGACACATTCACATTGGGGGCTTTAAGTATGTTTTCCAGGAATTAAGTTGATGGAAGGCATAGGAAAGATGTCAACTTTATGCCCCAGTGGTTGGCACATCATAGGGTAGTTAAGATTGTGGGGAATGATGCTGCAGAGCAACACAAGGATCACCTCAAAAGAGAAGAGAAATATTTTCCTTTGTACAACACATTTATACAGAGTCATATGACAGAAAATTCTTATTTGTCGTTCTTAGGAGAATATATTGCATTAGGAAGACAATAAGAAATGTTGAATAATGTTTTCGCAAAGAAGTAAAATGGGACATGTTAATATTTTTTTACCAAGGAAAGTACAAAAAAAAGGAAAAATTTGGGAGCATATTGGAGTGAAGAGACATTGGAAGGCAAAAGCCAGGCAAGGTTTGTTTTAAAATAAAACTTTAGGAAAATTATCATTGGCAAAAGTAAGGATGTGGCAATAAGAACAGAATGAAAGAAATAATTCAGGGATAATTAGGAAGAGCAAATTAAAGTAGTTGTAAAAACCATCTCTTAGGTGGAAAGTCATTAAAGAGTTGAGATTGATACCATGAGATTGATACCAAGTTCTGGCTTGCCCTATTAATTAAGTATATACAGTTTGCAATAAGATGATTGCACTGGGCTCAGTCAAGTACATGCTGAATTTGTGGTTACTAGACATCATTCAAGTAGAAGTGCTCAGTATCTAGATGTAGAATTCAGGATGTAATCTTAGTGGAAAAAATTGATGAGGGAGTCATCAGCAAATGGATAGACATCAGAACCAGAGGGATGGATACATTTATCTGAGGAAAATATAAAGAATAAAAGTACAAAATAGCCAAAATGAAGTCCAATGTGACTGGGTCAGTTTCTGGGAATCCAAACTAAGCCTATGGAGGTTTAGCAGGAACTTTGGTAACCAGATGCAAGGAGTTTGGTATCAACAGAATAAAAAAATTATGTCTGACATCTTTTTATTAAATTTATTTTCATAAACAGAACATTAATAACAAATAAATATAATGTGATTTTAGGGTACACAAGTGATACTTTACACTTCTACATACTAGATGAATAAAAGGTATAGTCTATCTATGCTAAGAAACAAAAAGAGAGATGCCTGGCACTTTGTAGGTGGTTAATAAATATTTTTGAAATGCAAGAGTATTTGTAACATGTACAAGAGATATAGCAAACCCATAAAATTTCATTAAAGTGGAATGGTAAGCAGCTAAGCTACCTGTGGCCTAGGCTAAATTTAATCTCTTACCTGGAATCATCCCACAGCTCTGTGTTTGTTTGTTTTCTTTTAATTTATGAACACCAAAATTCTTTTGGAAACAGAAGGAAAAAATTGTTAGCATAAGATTATAAAAAAGTGGTTGTAATAGATCTCTCAAACTTATTTCTCCTAAAAGTTGTGTCCTTTGACTAATTACTCCCTACCCACACCCAGCCTCTGGTAATTATCATTTTACTCTCTACTTCTATAGCTCATTTTCTTCATATTCCACATCTAAATGAGTTTTTAGCTAAATTTGACATTTTACAATGGATACATATTTCAAAACAACATATTGAATATGATATATGCACACAAATGTTATCTGTTAATTAAGAAATATTTAATAAATAGTAGATTCAGGATCTTTGCTTTTTTTCATCTCTTTTATTTTGGGTTGGAAGAGAGGGGCTTGAATCTATTCTATATAATTTAGGTGAGAAAAAGTATTTCCCTTTTTTTAATAGTAAACAATACAGTTGATTTTTGACCACACAGTTTTGAACTGTTTGAGCCCACTTACAGGCAGATTTTCTTCTACCTCTGCCACCCTGAGACAGCAAGATCAACCCCTCTTCATCATGCTACTCAATGGGAAGATGACAAAGACAAAGACCTTTATGATGATCTACTTTGTCTTAATGAATAGTAAATACATTTTATCTCCCTTATGAGTTTTCTTGATAACATTTTCTTTCACTGGCTTAGTTTATTGTAAGAATACAGTATATAATTCCTATAACCTACAAGATACTTGTTAATGGTCAACAGTGGATTATAAGTAGTTAAGTATTGGGGGATCAAAAATTTACACACAAATTTTCAACTGTGCAGGGTTCAGCACCCCTAACTGTTGTGTTGTTCAAGGATCAGCTGCACTTTGTTATAAAGTAAAGCAATCTCAAGTTTCAAGAGGTGCCTTCGAATTCCAAGATTAAATAACAGAATCTATACTTTTCATGTCTTGAGATACTTTTATTATTTACTTTATTGACCTTGATCTTTTCAGACAAAAAGTAGTTTGTGATTTTGTTGTTATTTCATATCACCCTCAAATGTCAGTGCTTTCCTATAAACTTTGTCATTTTCATTGTTGTGTGTGTGTGTGTGTGTGTGTTTTCTAAACCATCCCATTCTTTCAGGAACTTGGTTCCTGTATGCTTTCTCTCTCCAATTATTTTTAAATGTTTTGAGGCAACAAACAAAGGTGAGTCATTTATATTATAATGTTCATCTAAAATATTAAAGTATAAATTAACCAATTTATTAACATATCTATTACCAATACAGCTAATATAATTATAACTATAGGATAAATGCTTCTATTTTCTAATATTTAATGCATCAGTGAAAGTGTTGGTGTAGTTTCACTATACTATCTGCTATGCAGTGAGTGCAACAAGATGGGAGAATTATAATTTTGGACACTAAAATCACACTATGCAATTGTTACCAAAATTGTTTTCATGTAAAGGTAATTAAATAAGGCTTTTTTCTGCTCCAGTTCAGGAGACAACTATTTAATTATGTTTCTCCCGTTAAAAGTATTTTCAACCCAAATGGATATACCTCCAAAGAAGCAACCTATTTTGTAATGCGTTAATATAAGTGTATGCTATTTCTTTTTGTTCTAGAACTTTCCTTATGCTTTCATATTTTCCACACTGCCTTTCATCCAGCTACACAGACATAAACATACATGCATACAGCCTTTGGAGAAAAAGAGCCTTTGTATTTTTCCCTTATAAACAGGAGAAGGCCTTTAAGAGGTAATTTAGCATATGCATTTTATTCAAAGAAGTGTTATCTAGCTTCGAATAATTTTGAATAGTGAGTATACCATTATTATGTGAAATTGCATTTTATTATAAGTCAGTATTTTATATAATATTTCTGGGACATTTAGTTTTTTAATCCACATATTTAAAGTTTGTAATTAAACCCATTTTATTAAGCAAATGAATTTATTATTATTCTCCTTCTAAATATCTGACTCTTCAAGAAAAGTGTTCTCTTTCTGCATAAGACTTCTCTTATGATTGAAAGGAGATTTTTACATTTCTAATAGACTTCTTTCATTTAATACCTAATTGAATCTTTAGACCGATGCCATCTGATCAGGAATGGACAATGTGATGATGAATCTGGGCCACTAAGCTGTCCAGTATGGTCTCCACTAGCCACATGTGGCCTTTAGGTACATAAAGTGTAGTTACCACAAATGTGCAAATGAGACAATACAGTTTTAATTTTACTTAATTTTAATAAATCTATATTCATATTTAAATAGCTGCATGTGGCTAGTGGCTACTATACTGGTCATCACAGCTCTAGCTGATTTCATCACCCACTAGGGGGAAGTCCTTTTCATTGCCTTTTTGAGATTCTAAAGGATGTATGCATTATTGGCTTCTGGCCTGACCTCTTTCTCCAATGTTAAAGCCAGCAGTGTAGCACTTTCAAATCTCTCCCTCTCTCTCTCTCTCTCTCTCTCTCTCTCTCTCTCTTTCTCCTTTCTCTCACCTCTGCTATTAAATTGTCACATCTACCTCTGTGCCATTCATCCTCCTGCTCTTCCTCTTATAAGGACCCTTGTGAGTACATTGGACCCAGCTGGATAATTCAGAATAATCTTGCCATCTCAATATCTTTAATTTAATGACATCCGCAAAACCCTTTTGCTGTGAGGTTAACATAGTCAAAGGTTCTGGAAATTATGACATATTCATCTTTGGGGGACCATTGTTCTACCACAGCATGCATTTTGTAACATTTTATAATAAACTTTTAGTGCTGTTTTGAAACAGTTTATAATATTTGCAAATATATACACACATACATATCAATTCAAAAATATAATATGCTTATGAAAGACATGTATATATGTATGTAATATGTGTATACATAACAGTAATAAAACTTAACATACAAATGAATAACTAGATATGTGCTATAGTAAGATGATCGATGTATTAGTCAGGGTTCTCTAGAGGGACAGAACTAATAAAGGGGAGATTATTAAGTATTAACTTACCTGATCGCAAGGTCCCATAATAGGTTGTCTGCAAGCTGAGGAGAAAGGAGAGACAGTCTGAGTCCCAAAACTGAAGAACTTGGAGTCTGATGTTCTAGGGCAGGAAGCATCCAGCCCAGGAGAAAGATGTAGGCTGGGAGTCTAGGCCAGTCTAGTCTTTTCAAGTTTTTCTGCCTGCTTTATATTCTAGCAGCACTGGTAGCTGATTAGATGGTGCCCACCCAGATTAAGGGCCCGCCTTTGACTCAAATGCTAATCTCTTTTGGCAACACTTTCACAGACACACCCTTTGCATCTTTTAATCCAATCAAGTTGACATTCAGTATTAACTATTCACAACTGTGTACCTGTTCTTATGTTTCATAACCTTTGATGTTTTATTCAGAAATTGTGCTCGAAGATTCCTGATCACTCATATCATTTCTAACCCACATATCTCTTTGGTTGTTTTTTTTGAGATGGATTGTTGTTCTGTTGCCCATGCTGGACTTCAGTTGCAATATCTCAGCTCACTGCAACCTCTGCGCCCTGGATTCTAGCCATTCTTCTGCCTCACCCTCCCCAGGAGCTGGGACTACAGGCTTGCGCCCCCAGGTGCAGCTAATTTTTGTATTTGTAATAGAGACAGGGTTCACCATATTGGTCAGACTGGTCTTGAACTCCTGACCTGAGGATCCACCCGCCTTAGCCTCCCAAAGTGCTAGAATTACAGGTGTGAGCCCTGTGCCCAGCAGTCTCTTTGGGTTTTGTTTTTGCACCCTTCTATTAATACTTTTTTATATTTATTTAAGAAGGCAGTATTTAATAATGCCTTTGGCTAGTAGTTTGGTAATTCAAGTTGTATTTTATCAGATTTATTAATATCTAAGAAGTGTGGTATAAAAGTCTTGCTACAGACAAGGAATATTACATTAATTACTTCAATTCTATATACCTGACCTATGACTTTGAATCTAGATTACTAAATTAGTGTCAGAACTAAAGCTTTCAATGCAAAAAGTTAATAATTTAGATGGACATGCCAAGCTGTTTTTACTTTAGTGGACCTAGGTACTTTTGTCATGCAAATGTGTGATCACATTCTTACTTCAGTTTGCTTTAAGTCACTGATTCGATTACTGGAAACAACGTTGGTCTGGAATCAGATTGATGTTGGTTTAAACCCCGGCTTGGTCAGTTAGTAGCCTGTAAGTTTTGGCTCATCTCTTCAGCTTCCTAAGTTTTAGTTCTCTCATCTGTAAAATTGAATTAAAATTTAACCCTACAGTTGCCAACAGTGGCTGTCTAACCTAGTGAAATTTTAAGTAAATGATAGCAGGTTTTGTCATGATTACCTTTAACAGTCGAAAGAAAAGGACAAATTGTAGAGCATTAAGTCATGGGATAATTAACAGAAAATCAAAGAAAATAAAGAGATAGCGACAGAGATATTCTTATTAAATATTAAGCTAGGACATCATCTTATGTGAGCCATGAGATACTAAGTATTAGGCACATTTCTATGTAATATACAACTTTATACAGAGACCTTGGATTCAATTTCTAAATGGCCTCTTTTTTTTATTGTTTGCCATTTATCAATCTAATTTTACCTTGATTTTAAGAACATTCAGTATTTAGGCTTTAAACTCATGTTTTTTTTTTTTTCACCTCATATCATGTCTGAAAGCCTTTTTTGTAAGGCCGGTTGCCTTGCCGGGAGTCAAACGGACACATTCATCACTCTCTGCGCCTGATAACTGCATTATCACCTGAGCTCATTATCTGGCTTCACCGCATAGCTTCCCCACACCCGCCTCTGCATACCATGCCCAAGCCCACACTCAGCAATAAATTATGCATCCAACCTCCAGCCCACTGTTAAAAAACCCTGCAGAGAAATTTTTTAAAGAAGCCCCACCATGGCAGCTAGTTTCATGTACTTCCTACTTTAATTCCATGTACTTCCTGCTCCTCAACAGCCAATAGAAATGCCTTCTCTTTGTTTCCCCAGTAGCCAATCATTTGCCTGCCCTCCCCATAAAACCCCACACCCTGAACAGCTGGGTGAAACTTCTCTGGCCCCCCCCTTAGACCACTGAAGCTTGCCTGGGAGCTGAATAAATTAGCTTCTCACTTTCTTATACTTGCCTCAGTTTCCTCATTTTACCTCAGCAATAAATCTTACAATTTTTACTCTTTTTCTTTTGCTCTAAAGATCTTTCTTTGTATCAATCTATGTTATAGTGTTATACCTTGTAAGAACAAAGTAAAAAAATAACATTAGGTCATTTCAGTTTTAATTATAACATTTACAACTTTATACCCACTTTATTATATATATATATATATATAAAACTATATGTTCATATATGTGTAAGCAAAAGTACACAGCTATTATATATGTGTGTCTATGGGCCAGCATATATGTTGCATATATAAAGCTAAAAGATAAAGTATTTACATATATAATGTTAAAACACAAAGCATACATAAAGTTAACACATGAAGTTGAATATATACACATAAAGCACGAAATATGTATTTACATTTATGAAGTTGATGCATAAAACTATCACATGTATACATATACACATACATAGAAATATGTACAGTACGTAAAAGGATAGACATCTTTAAAAAACACAGGAAGATGGACATAATTGTGTTGATGCTTTCGAAATTGTTAAATAACAACATTCTTATTACTAGGAATAGTAGCTAACCCAAGCACTGACCCAAATTATTTACATAATGACTATTGAAATATTCTTCTAAATATAATCCTTGTTACCAGTCTTCTTGTGTATTCACATCTATTCTAACCAACTTTATTTTTCAAACTGTCAATATAGTTATCTTTCTAACAATGCATATTTGATTCTTACTCTTAAGTTAAAACCTAATTTTTAAAAATTTCTACTGGAACTTAGAAAGTTTCATGGGATAATTTTGTGGCATGGCTTACAAAAATCTTTATAATCTGGCTCTCATGACTTCTCAAACATAATCCCTGGAAATCATCACTAATCTCAACAGTCAAAGCCAAATCATACTTTGGTGTTTTTCCCTCAAAGCCATTCAGCTGTTTTTCTCTTTTGATTGTCCCTGTATCTTTACTATCTTCTCAAACTGACTAAAATAGTTCCTGTGCATCCATCAAGACTCATCTCACCATTCTGTTCTGGAAAGTTTCCTTAATTTGACTAAGCAGCATTAATCTTTCTCCTTTTATGTCAGTAGGTTTTTAATGCCTTCATCAACTGGAGCATTTTTCTATTGTTTTTCCTTAATGTGCATGATTTTTTTCACCTTACTCAGACTTTATGATGCTGCCGTATCTATTCATTTCTAGCACAGTGCTCCTGATATGGTAACTACAACTGAAATGTTTAGTCAATGTGTAAATGAGCAAATGAATGAAATTGGTTAAGTGGGTTTAGACTTTAAAATTCAATGTTGTTTTTAAATCTACAGTTGCATTAATACTATAAAATATATGCTTATTCTAGGTAAAAAATAACATTTCCACCCTATTTCTGTCCCTAGAGACACTATTATACATAAATAAGTATATAAACCCACAGATTTAGATTTGTATTTTAAATAGTTGTACAAATAATATCATACTCTAGAAAATGTATCTTGCTCTTCTTTGCTCAAAACTATATCTTAATGCTCTTCTTATAAGATTATAAATAAGTCTACCGCATTCTTTTAAACCAGAAACATAAGCAATAGTCTGTAATTAATTTAATTTATTAAACCTATCTTACATTAATAAGCATTTAAGTCATTTCTATTGTTTTCATTATAGTAGGTAATGTTACTGTGAATATCTTTATGTACATGCACACACATGTGTAATCGTGACTGTGTGAACACAAAGTTCATATCACTTGAACTGAAATTAAACACCTAAGAGTGTACATTTACGATCTGGATACACAATGCTATATAATTCTTCAAAATTGTAATCAATCTTAGCTGCTCATTACAGTAAAAGAATTTAAGAAATAAATGAATGGAAAAGACTTGGATTCAGTAAAATTCTTCCTAGTCATTTATTCTCCCCAGAAAATTGGCAAAGGATTATCATAATTACCTTTCAAGAGGTGAGTAGGATTTTCCATCTCCAAAATTATCTAAATCTACAATACATAATGTAATATTCAAATAAGCATAGTTTTATTATTACTGACTCGACTTGTAGTATACTAACAACTAAAAGATATGCTATATTCATACGTAATGAAATTGGCTATTGAATGCATTGGTAGTATAATATCAGGTGTTTGGATTTAAAAGTATTTTAAACTAATAGCTTTACAACAGATTTAGGCTGCATGATTAACCATTATGGTCAAATTGTAGAATTAATAGGTTTTGGATTTGCTTTTATATTAAGGTGCTAAATATTGAAGCACAGAAAATTGTAAATTTGGAAGTATCATTCATATTCACTATTTCAAAAAATTTGGTTTGAGCAGTATAGAAAGAATCACTTGAGTCAAGTAAAATATACTGTTTTATGATCAGAGAAGAGAGTCAATACAAGGCTTTTGGTGCGTACTATATCAATTGTAAGAAATCTCATAGGCTAGGAATTATTCTTCACATTTTAGGCAATATTGATAAATTACATAACTGAAAAGAAATTACGCACCTTGTGCGGGCATAAATTCTAAATCTAATTGACTTTAAATTACATTAGTCAAATCTATTGTTTATTTGGCTTCGGAAAAAACAATTCCACTGAAAAACAGCTGAAGGATATTTGGGAGTTATATCTTTAGTTATAATATTCAGTTACAAAATTGGCAGTCAGAAAACAAACCAGCGATTGCTAATACAAAAACATTATTTCTTACCTTGTTTAAATATAGAATTTATATTCAGTTGGCAAAAATGTTATCATGCAAAATATCAATAAAATAAGCATATTGAAAACAGACTGAAAATTCACATTCAAATTCAAGATTCTCAGTGTTATGATTCATTTAGGTAATAACCAACCAGCTGCCTAGAGATTGTCTGGAGGATTTCTGTTAATAGTGACATATCTACAAGTATAGGGAGATACCTAATTTTAAACTTTGCTATAACCTATTGCCTTTGACATTTAAAAATATATTAAAATGTCTTATTTTGCAAAAGCTATCTCATTGGTAGTGAGTTGCCAATTCTTTTTCTCTTTTTTTCTGGCAATCATGAAACCCAGATGCTAAGCACTGGAAGATATTTCTTCCAATAGCAGCATCTGGCGTGCTGGCAGACTCCATAAGCAATTTTGTTTTACGGCTTTAAAGCAGCTTCTGGGTCTATTACATGGTTAATCTGATGGGCTGTCTGGGCTGTCTTGTCCTCCTGGATGCCATATGCCAACAGCTAGAGATGCAGTGAACTGTCTGCCCATTAGGGCTGCTATAAAGAGAACACCTGAAAAAAATCAGCTGCAAAGAGTGTGCTCCACTTCTGTTCAGCTATTACAGTACCAGTGATGAGTGACCTGGCTAAAATAGTGCTAAAACTTGCCAAAAATGTTCAATGCCCTCTGAACACCAGGGAAGACAAAAAAAAAAACCTGGAAATAATGAAATATTCAGGATATCATTATATCATTTGATATTGAAACAAGCATTTGCTTCTATTTCCCATGCAAGAGAAGGAACAGGAAATGAGAAGTAGAATTGTGGGGATGACAGACACAAATTTGATTGCTGCTCTTCTGTGGCAAATGGCTCATGAGAGGTTGATTTCCCTGATAGAGATTGTGTCTAATTCATTTTTATACTTTCAGAGCCTACCAAAGTATTTGAATGTGGTAGAACCAGAGTAAGTTGTTTTAAATAAATAAAAGCAAATGTATTGCAATTGTGCAATAAATTTTATAATTTTAAGCCCTTTACATAATTGATTTCTTATCCTTTCCATACTATATCTTATATTACTTCTTCAGATAAATTTTTTCTCATTACCCAGATTGGGTTGGGTCAGTTTTTAGTACTCCCTAATACCTGTAAATACGTGGTATCATACCCGTTAACACCATACTTGTTTGATCATAAGAAGTTGCATTCCAGTCCTTTAATTGAAAACATAGTTTATATTTTTCTTTAAAACACGTCAAAATTCAAAAATATTTTGATTTTGTTTTCACATGATAGCCAAGGCATACTCTTTAGTTAAGTAGAGGTTAATTCTGCTTTCTACTCTATTTGAGTAATGATTTTCTCTCCCATGAGACTTATAGATATACGCTTCACAATGGCTCTATCTATATTTTTTTTACAATCTCTGTCACAATATCTGGCTCTATCTCTGAAAGTCATGATGTATTAGTTCAATAAATACTTGTCAGATTAATTATACTTTTTTCTTCAAAACTTAAAAGTTCATATATTTATTCCTTTTCTTTAGTTACCCCGTTCTCTCATGCTTGGTCATACTGCAGCCTCATTCTCCCAGACTCAAGTTATCTTCATACCTCAGCCTACTGAGTAGCTCAGACTACAGGCTAGGACCAATAC